TTTGTGAGTTTCTGTGGATGCTTTTCGGTGTAAATGGGTGCATATGCTGTCCCAAGGTCATTTTTATTTGACATTAAAGGTGAAATGATTTGTAATGTGAAATGAGATATGGTATATGTGATGTACAAATATATGTTAAGAAGGACATGCCTTTTTATGGTGTGTATTTTAGAAGGGAGAGAATTATTGTATTTTCAGTTCCTTGAACGAACGTGAGAGGTGAACACAGTGCAAACACCGTTGCGGTAAATGAAATGACAGCGTGTTTGCCTATTTTTTTCTTGTAAGTTCGTATTCACAAGCAAATATTGCGTATATGCGCCTTGGATATGATGCTAAACAGCACCCTGGGATTCACTTGGGTAAAAGGTGTACTGCTCTGTTTTGTGTACGTATTATATGTATGCTTCTGTTTCCGCCGCATGAATATTTATTTCTATGTACAGCGTGGAGAATTTTATATTTGCACTGTCTGGATGCTTAAGGCAAAAGAAAGCACAAAGTCAACGTCCATTCTGAACCAGCGACGAGACGGGCACCGCCGTGGACCTCGCCTTAGGAAACGTTCACTGGCTACACGGCAGAAGACGGACGGTATCAGATTCGATATGCAAAAAGAAAGATGAGAAAATGCATCTGGAAAATGTTATGTGATCGCTCTCACGGGCTAATGGACCTTCCTGGCGCCCACTGTGCCCTCGCTCGTCCTGGGCATGACGTTAATGACGTGTTAATGGAAAAGTACTTATAGAAAGTTGTGTTAATGGAAGATAGTGCTTATGGAAAATAGTGTTAATGGCGGCAAAATGTCTATCAATGAACATACGCATATATTTTTTGTGCCATGTCTGAGCCTGACGTTGGCGACCATTAATTTCATGGTTGTACAAGGGAGTGTACCAAGGTGGTTTCCCGTTGCCTTCCACCTAATATCGCTTATGGAAAATGTGTTTATGGAAAATATTGTTAATGGAAATAGTGTTGGTGGAAAATAGTTCATATAGAAAACAGTGTTAATGGAAGATAGTGCTTATGGAAAATAGTGTTAATGGCGGCAAAATGTCTATCAATGAACATACGCATATATTTTTTGTGCCATGTCTGAGCCTGACGTTGGCGACCATTAACTTCATGGTTGTACAAGGGAGTGTACCAAGGTGGTTTCCCGTTGCCTTCCACCTAATATCGCTTATGGAAAAACAGCGCTTATGGAAAATGTGTTTATGGAAAATATTGTTAATGGAAATAGTGTTGGTGGAAAATAGTTCATATAGAAAACAGTGTTAATGGAAAATAGTGCTTATGGAAAGTACTGCATGTGAAAACAAGTGTAGTTTGTGAAAAATAGGAAATATCTTTATTTAGCAAAAATTAGTACAAACTGAGAACAGTGCATTGTATGGTAAATAGTACATATATAATAATTGATGTATGTATGATGTATGAATGGGTTGGAAGTCTGCTTGCGCTGCATGTAGTTTGCACTGTTTGCCTGTATGTTTGCCTATTATGTTTGTTTGCATTGCTTTTATGATTACGTTGTATGTATGTTTTGCGCATTGTGTATGGTTAGGTTGGATGTGTGCTTGAAATGCATTTAATTTGCGTTGTTTGTCTGTTTGCATTGCTTATATATTTGCGTCTTTTGTAATGCGTGTAAGCTTGCACTGTGGTCTGCTTGTATTTCATGTATGTTTTACGTTGTATGTCTGTTTGTACTGCATATTTCGTTGTGTTACTATTCGTACTGTATGAGTACCGTTGCTTGCATTGCATGCATGTTTGTGTTGTATATAGTTGCTCTGCATGTTCTCTTTGTGTTTTGTGTATGTTTTGTATTGCATATTTGTTATTCGCTAAACGTCTTCTTGTGTGACATGTCCGTCTGTCAGCAAGGATGCTAGAGGACAGAAGAAAGCACAAAGTCAACGTCCATTCGGAACCGGAGACGTGTTAGTGGAAAATCGCCCTAATGGAAAAACAGTGCTTATGGAATATAGTTCTTATGGAGAGTAGTGCTTATCGAAAAAATATGTTAATGGAAAAATGGGAAAAAAACAGTGCTTATGAAGAAATAGTTTTAATCGAAATAGTGCTTATGGAAAATGGTGTTAATGGAAAATAGTGCTTATAGAAAACAGTGTTAGTAGAAATTAGTGTTAAGAGAAAATTGTGCTAATGGAAAATAGCGTTCATGGAAATAGTGTTAATGGAAAAGTGCTTATAGAAAATAGTGTTAATGGAAAATAGTGATTATGGAAAACAGTGTTAATGGAAATAGTGTTAATGGAAAATAGTGCTTATGGAAAATAATGGCAAAGGAAAATAGTGTATATATTTTAAATGTATTTGTTCTATATATGATTGTTTGTATACAAGGGCGTCCTTGACATGTTAAACTGTGTAAGGTATCACCTAGTGTGTGAAAAGTAGCTTTATGGAAAAAGAGTATAATATGGAAACACGTCATTAGAGGAACACTGTGCAAAAAGAAAGATGGGAAAACGCACCTGGGAAATGTTAAGTAATCGCTCTCACGGGCTAATGGACCTTCCTGGCGTCCTGGGCATGACGTTAAACTGCAGCCTGGGGTCGCAGTAGCAATGATGGCGCCCCATGTATCCCCCGCATCGTGAGGTTTATTTGTCTGAAGGTTGTTTGTTTGTTGGCACTGCATGTCTGTTTGGGTAGTGTAAGGTATACTCCTAGCTCAAGGCCACGTACCATCCGTACAGAGGAGCCCGAATTCAAATCTCCCGTGAGGCAGGAGAGGCTTAGGGACCAGGTGAACATTGAAATTAGGGATCCCGTTGACTCCCCTTAAGAGAAGACAGTAATACTCCTTTTGAAGGTCTAACATTGCTGCTTTTATCGTTCCTAGTGTCCTTCCACTGTAGGGATAGTAGCAATAGTAGTAGCCATAGCAGTAGTGATAACAGTAGTGGTAGCACGAGCAATAGCAGTAGTAGTAATGGTAGAACGCGCAATAGTAGTAGTAGTAGTAGTGGTAGCACGAGCAATAGCAGTAGTAGTAGTGGTAGCACGAACAACAGCAGTAGCAGTAGTAGTGGTAGCACGAATAATAGCAGTAGTAGTGGTAGCACGAGCAATAGCAGTAGTAGTAGTAGTAGCACGAGCAATAGCAGTAGTAGTAGTAGTAGCAGCACGAGCAATAGCAGTAGTAGTAGTAGTAGCAGCACGAGCAATAGCAGTAGTAGTAGTAGCAGTAGTGGTAGCACGAGCAATAGCAGTAGTAGTAGTAGTAGCGGCACGAGCAATAGCAGTAGAAGTAGTAGTAGTAGTAGTAGCAGTAGCGGCAGCACGAGCAATAGCAGTAGTAGTAGTAGTGGTAGCACGAGCAATAGCAGTAGTAGTAGTAGTGGAGCACGAGCAATAGCAGTAGTAGTAGTAGTAGTGGTGGTAGCACGAGCAATAGCAGTAGTAGTAGTAGTGGTAGCACGAGCAATAGCAGTAGTAGTAGTAGTAGTGGTGGTAGCACGAGCAATAGCAGTAGTAGTAGTAGCACGAGCAATAGCAGTAGTAGTAGTAGTAGTGGTGGTAGCACGAGCAATAGCAGTAGTAGTAGTGGTGGTAGCACGAGCAATAGCAGTAGTAGTAGTAGTAGTGGTGGTAGCACGAGCAATAGCAGTAGTAGTAGTAGTAGTAGTGGTGGTAGCACGAGCAATAGCAGTAGTAGTAGTAGCACGAGCAATAGCAGTAGTAGTAGTAGTAGTGGTGGTAGCACGAGCAATAGCAGTAGTAGTAGTAGTAGTAGTAGCTCGAGCAATAGCAGTAGTAGTAGTAGTAGTAGTAGTGGTAGCACGAGCAATAGCAGTAGTAGTAGTAGTAGTAGTGGTGGTAGTGGTAGCACGAGCAATAGCAGTAGTAGTAGTAGTAGTGGTGGTAGTGGTAGCACGAGCAATAGCAGTAGTAGTAGTAGTAGTGGTGGTAGTGGTAGCACGAGCAATAGCAGTAGTAGTAGTAGTAGTGGTGGTGGTAGTAGTAGCACGAGCAATAGCAGCAGTAGTAGTAGTGGTGGCAGTGGTAGCACGAGTAATAGCAGTAGTAGTAGTAGTAGTAGTAGTAGTGGTAGTGGTAGCACGAACAATAGCAGTAGTAGTAGTAGTGGTGGTAGTGGTAGTGGTAGCACGAGCAATAGCAGTAATAGTAGTAGTAGTGGTAGTGGTAGCATGAGCAATAGCAGTAGTAGTAGTAGTAGTAGTAGTAGTGGTAGTGGTAGCACGAGCAATAACAGTAGTAGTAGTAGTAGTGGTAGTGGTAGCACGAGCAATAGCAGTAGTAGTAGTAGTAGTAGTAGTAGTGGTAGTGGTAGCACGAGCAATAGCAGTAGTAGTAGTGGTAGTGGTAGCACGAGCAATAGCAGTAGTAGTAGTAGTGGTGGTAGTGGTAGCACGAGCAATAGCAGTAGTAGTAGTAGTAGTAGTGGTAGTGGTAGCACGAGCAATAGCAGTAGTAGTAGTGGTAGTGGTAGCACGAGCAATAGCAGTAGTAGTAGTAGTGGTGGTAGTGGTAGTGGTAGCACGAGCAATAGCAGTAGTAGTAGTAGTAGTAGTGGTAGTGGTAGCACGAGCAATAGCAGTAGTAGTAGTAGTAGTAGTGGTAGTGGTAGCACGAGCAATAGCAGTAGTAGTAGTAGTAGTAGTGGTAGCACGAGCAATAGCAGTAGTAGTAGTAGTAGTAGTAGTGGTAGTGGTAGCACGAGCAATAGCAGTAGTAGTAGTGGTAGTGGTAGCACGAGCAATAGCAGTAGTAGTAGTAGTAGTGGTGGTAGCACGAGCAATAGCAGTAGTAGTAGTAGTGGTGGTAGTGGTAGTGGTAGCACGAGCAATAGCAGTAATAGTAGTAGTAGTGGTAGTGGTAGTGGTAGCACGAGCAATAGCAGTAGTAGTAGTAGTAGTGGTGGTGGTAGTGGTAGCACGAGCAATAGCAGCAGTAGTAGTAGTAGTGGTGGTAGTGGTAGCACGAGCAGTAGCAGTAGTAGTAGTAGTAGTAGTGGTAGCGCGAGCAGTAGTAGTAGTAGTAGTAGTAGTAGTGGTAGTGGTAGCGCGAGCAGTAGCAGCAGCAGTAGTAGTAGTAGCACGAGCAATAGCAGTAGTAGTAGTAGTAGTGATAGTAGCTCGAGCAATAGCAGTAGTAGTGGTAGCACGAGCAATAGCAGTAGTAGTAGTAGTAGTAGCACGAGCAATAGCAGTAGCAGTAGTAGTAGTAGTAGTGATAGTAGCTCGAGCAATAGCAGTAGTAGTAGTGGTAGCACGAGCAATAGCAGTAGTAGTAGTAGTAGTGGTGGTGGTAGCACGAGTAATAGCAGTAGTAGTAGTTGTAGTAGTAGTAGTGGATGCACGAGCAATAGCAGTAGTAGTAGTAATAGTAGCACGAGCAATAGCAGTAGTAGCAGTAGTAATAGCACGAGCAATAGCAGTAGTAGTAGTTGTAGTAGTAGTAGTGGATGCACGAGCAATAGCAGTAGTAGTAGTAATAGTAGCACGAGCAATAGCAGTAGTAATAGCACGAGCAATAGCAGAAGTAGTGGTAGCAATAGCAGTAGCAGTAGTAGTAGTAGTGGTAGCACGAGCAATAGCAGTAGTAGTAGTAGTGGTAGCAATAGTAGTAGTAGTAGTAGTGGTAGCAATAGCAGTAGTAGTAGTAGTAGTGGTAGCAATAGTAGTAGTAGTAGTAGTGGTAGCACGAGCAATAGCAGTAGTAGTAGTAGTAGTGGTAGCAAGAGCAAGAGCAGTAGTAGTAGTAGCACGAGCAATAGCAGTAGTAGTAGTAGCAATAGCAATAGTAGTAGTAGTAGTAGTGGTAGCACGAGCAATAGCAGTAGTAGTAGTGGTAGCAATAACAATAGCAGCAGTAGTAGTAGTGGTAGCAATAGCAATAGCAGCAGCAGTAGTAGTAGTGGTAGTACGAGCAATAGCAGTAGTAATGGTAGCAATAACAATAGCAGCAGTAGTAGTAGTAGTGGTAGCACGAGCAATAGCAGTAGTAGTAGTAGTGGTAGCAATAACAATAGCAGCAGTAGTAGTAGTAGTGGTAGCACGAGCAATAGCAGTAGTAGTAGTAGTGGTAGCAATAACAATAGCAGCAGTAGTAGTAGTGGTAGCACGAGCAATAGCAGTAGTAGTAGTGGTAGCAATAGCAATAGCAGCAGCAGTAGTAGTGGTAGCAATAGCAGTAGTAGTAGTAGTAGTGGTAGCAATAACAATAGCAGCAGTAGTAGTAGTGGTAGCACGAGCAATAGCAGTAGTAGTAGTGGTAGCAATAGCAATAGCAGCAGTAGTAGTAGTAGTGGTAGCAATAACAATAGCAGCAGTAGTAGTAGTGGTAGCACGAGCAATAGCAGTAGTAGTAGTGGTAGCAATAGCAATAGCAGCAGCAGTAGTAGTGGTAGCAATAGCAGTAGTAGTAGTAGTAGTGGTAGCAATAACAATAGCAGCAGTAGTAGTAGTGGTAGCACGAGCAATAGCAGTAGTAGTAGTGGTAGCAATAGCAATAGCAGCAGCAGTAGTAGTGGTAGCAATAGCAATAGTAGAAGTAGTGGTAGCACGAGCAATAACAGTAGTAGTAGTAGTGGTGTTATCAATAGCAATAGCAGTAGTAGTAGTAGTAGTGGTAGCAATAGCAGTAGTAGTAGTAGTGGTAGCAATAGCAATAGCAGTAGTAGTAGTAGTGGTTGCAAGAGCAAGAATAGTAGTAGTATCCCCCGCAGCGGGAGATCTATTTGTCTTAGGATTGTTTGTTTGTATTGTATGTATGTTTGGGTAGTATGTCTGTTGCATAGGCATGTATTTTAGTCATGTATGGTAGTTTGCAAATATTTCTGCAATATGTAGTTGTTTGCGTTGTATTCTTGAACAAGGGGTCTGTTTATGTTGTATATCCTTGCACTAGATGGTCTATTTACTTTGCATGATTGCGTTTTGTTAATGTTTTTTTTTTTATGGCATACATGTTCCGTGTTATATCAGTGTTGCACCTGCGTTTTCGCTCAATGTCCTCTTGTGTGACATGTCCGTCTGTCAGCAAGGACGCTAGAGGGCCGAAGAAAGTCAACGTCCATTTGGAACCGGAGGCGAGACGGGCACCGCCGTGGACCTCGCCTTATGAAACGCTCAATGGCCACACGGCAGAAGGTGGACGGTGTCACTGCGTGAGATATGAAGGAAGAGGGGAAAATAAAAGATATATGTATCATGTGTGATGTACAGTAATGTATAATGTAATACATAAGACGATATACTGTGACCTATGAGATATATTGAATAATGTAATTAATTGTTGAGAAGGAGATGCCGAGTTAATCTAGCCACTGAGTGGGCAAGTCAGCCTACTTCAGTGCCGGTCCCAAGCCCGGGTAAATAGAGAGGGTTGGAAGCCGGAAAGTTTATATAGCGACCTCAATAATGGGACAAATTACATCAAAAGAATGAAAAGAAGTAGGAGAGGCGGGGTAGATGCACTAAGAAAGGGCATCTGTCCATAAAACAAAAAAACAAAAACATCTGCCGGAACCAGATAATAGCGACCCCAAATAAGAGTGGGACAAAGCCACAGCGGCAGGAGGTGAGATGTCGACTTGTGAATAATATATGTGAAGGGATATGGGGTATGTGCGTTCAATGGCGTCGTTGTGTACTGCATAAACATGTGCTTGCACCGCAAAATGTTTGTGTTTTGGCACCATACACTTTTTCATCCATCTACGCTGCAACAATGTGTCCCTTTGTCGTTTGTCTGTTTGTTTACACAACATGAATGAGTGTTTGTTTACACTGCATATATGTTTTACATGACCATTGTGTTTGTTTATATCTCATGCATGGGTATAATTGTTTGCATAGCGTTATAGTTCGTCAGTTTTGGGGGGCCAATTCTTGATTATTTGTTTGCAATCCACGCACACGCACACACGCGCGCGCTCGCGCGCACACACACACACATACACACATACAAATATACACACACATACACATATACATACACCAATTACAAAAGTCACATCCGCGGACACATACACGCACAAGAGAAGAATAGGACACCTATTTCCAGAGGGCGACACGCAACAAGTTCTCGCCGGACAGACACCGTCGTTGCAGCACGCCGTTGACCTCGAGCACTTTCGCCGTCAAAGTACCAATTACGCCACGGCCAATTTCATAGCCACGCTCCCTGAAAACATCCTAATCGCCCTACCGAAGTACATGGCGCCAGAACAGGGATAAGACATGCCCCTCTCCTAGACCTTTTACATTTTGCCAAATGAAATGGTGCACCTGTATTTATGAAATGTATTTAGGGAAAATAGTGCCGTTAATGGAAAACTGTTAAAGGAAAATCATTCATTTTGCAAAAAGTGATGCACTTTGTGAAATATAATTTACGGAAAACTGTATTTTACGAAATTTATGCTTCGTGTGCATGTCCGCGTGTGTGTCAAACTGCACTCTGGGGTCACTTGAGCGAGGCTAGCGAAATAATGCATTTTACACGCATCACCGTTTCTAATGTCAAGCGTATTTCCGTGTTTCTTTGTCATGGTTATGCGTTTTACTATTGACTTGCTTCGCGTTTTCAATGAACATTGCGGTGCGATCGCATTCATAATTTTGTTTATGTTTATGATATACGTCCAGGGGTCGCCTGAGCGAGGCTAGCAACACATACATCCCGTGTCAAGTATGATTTCAAGCATATGCATGTATGCTAGCCTCGCCCAGAGTGTTTGCTTCTTTGTTTCCGCGTTGGTATGCGTATTTCGCATGCATATTTAAATATGTCTGGATTTTTTGTAGTTATTCCCGGGAAAGTTGGAGAGTTTATCAATATCTCATCCATTCTGATTTTCTGTGGATGCTTTTCGGCGCAAATGGGTGCATATGCTGCCCCAGGTGTGTCAGACATCCCGAGAGAGCCGCTTCTTTGGTGGACTAATTTCTAAGACGAAGACACAGGAGCTACGTCATTCAAAACACGAAATAAGCGGTTTTGCACCCTATGAAGAAGGACACCACCCACGGCCGCGAAGGAAAGGGCAAAGAAGGTCATTTTTATTTGATATTGAGTTTGAAATGATTTGTAATGTGAAATGAGATATGGCATTTAGTATATATGATATACAAATATATGTTATGAAGGACATGCATTTTGCGTATGCTCAGGCACAAACATACACCCCCCCCCCCCACACACACACATACATACGCACACACATACACATACACACGCGTGTACACACACACACACACACACACACACACACACACACACACACACACACACACACACACACACACTCACTCACACACGCGCACACACACACACGCACACACACACACACACACACACACACACACACACACACACACACACACACACACATACACACACACACACACACACGCATACACACAAGAACGCATGCACGGATAAAACCCAGTTCACAGTTGCAAGTTCTTTACGAAAACTCACATACCCCCTCTTGCAACTCGGATTTCTTAGTTCTCTCGGAATCTCCTTGACCTCGAGTCCAAGGTCAAATGCGTGACCCTGTGCCGCCCACATCGTGTTGATGTGTTGATGGAAAATAGTGTTAATGAAAAATAGTGTTAATGGAAAATAGTGCTAAATAATATTACGTATTTATTAAAATATTATTCGTAGAAAATGGTTCATTTTGGAAACTAGCGCATCTGGTGGAAAATAACGCAATTAACAGGAAATTGTGCATTTAGTGAAAAAAATAGTGCCGTTAATGGAAAAAGGAAAATCATTCATTTTGCAAAAAGTGGTGCACTTTGTGAAATATAATTTACGGAAAACTGCATTTTACGAGATATTTGCTTCTTGTGCATGCCCGCGTGTGTGTCTAACTGCACTCTGAGGTCACTTGAGCGAGGCTAGCAAAATAGTGAATTTTACACGCATCACCGTGTCTAATGTCAAGCGTATTTTGGTGTTTCTTTGTCATTATTATGAGTTTTACTATTGACTTGCTTCGTGTTTTCCATGAACATTGCGGTGCGATCGCATTCATAATTTTGTTCATGACCATGTTATGCGTCCAGGGGTCGCCTGAGCGAGGCTAGCAACACGTACATCCCGTGTCAAGTCTGATTTCAAGCATATGCATGGTATGCTAGCTTCGCTCAGAGTGCTTGCTTCTTTGTTTCCATGTTGGTATGCGTATTCCGCATGCATATTTAAATATGTCTGGATTTTTGTGGTTCTTCCCGGGAAAAGTGGGAGTTTCTCTTGTTTTCAGAATTCAGATGACGTATGATAATCCAGAATCCAGAAGGGTTAACATTCGACATTGATTCCTAATCTATTGTAGGCACAGGTAAGAACATGGTTGTTTGTATGCCTTTGTATTTGCTTACATTTAGCATTCTATTTTACTAGCTATTTTAATACTACTGTTATATGTTTCGCCCCTTTACAGTAAACTGATAGTAAGCTATTACTACTGTATTTATTTCCTGGGCATAACGCTAAACTGCCACCTGGGGTCGCTTGAGCATGATAGGACCCCATTCCTCCCCGTTTCAAGGGGTTTGTTTACCTGCTTCCTCATTTTGTTTGTATTGCTAGCTATAAAGATTTTTTTTCCAAGGTTCATAGTGAAATATTTAATTTGGTGAGAAGGGTTAGATGGGAGGGGGGGGGGGGGCAGAGTAATATCTCGTCTTTCTAGAATCTCGGAACGACACGATACGTTGTTGCAAGTTACGTTGCTGTACGAAGGGAAGGAATGAAAGACAAAACTCTCAGGCGACGTCGCGGGAAG